ACATTTATATAGCAAAATTACCAACAATACAGTTTATGATCTACAAACTATATATCTAAAACAACATATCTTTTATCCTGAAAGTATAAAATTATGGACAAAATATCTCTAGTTGTAAGCATAAAATTACTTACAAAATATTTAGATTTTGGCATTAAATAACCCATAGAAGTTGATATGTTGCTGAACTAAATCAACCAACCAAATAACCCATAGCTGGGGGCGAGGGAGAAAAGATGGTTTGAGTATTTGTGCATAAGTGAATGCAGCAAACTCAACTGAAATTTGAACTTGGCTCTTCCATTACACCATCTGCACATCCTCAAACTTAGGGAATAAAGCAATTTCAGGCCTAATAAAACCAATGATTTGTGGTAGTTTTTAAATGTCATTGGTCTCAAGTAATGAGTTGATTTGATCACTATTAATTTGAACTAATCATGTAGATTGATTCATCATGAAATCTCAATGAAATTTTGCAAACCATTTTTGACATGTATGATTATTCACAAAACCTTCTCCATAAGCCACACAAATCTTTATTTTGCATTTGAGTCACATTTTTTTAACTTTTTCTCAAAAAAAAAAAAAAATAAAGACAAAAATGTTGCTTACTTTCTTCTATTTTAAATTTTTTGCATTGACAGGCAAAAATTCACCAACTTTGATTAATTAAAAAAAAAATGATATGACAAAAGTAATCTTCTTAGAAATGCTGCTCATGTCATCTCATGATTAGGATAGGACAAATTTTAAGGTCAAATCAATACACAATATGAAATTAATTGGGACTGGTACTAGTTGAGAAAAAAGGTCCCTTGATATAGGATGACCACAAGAAAGGCATTTTATAATCAAGATCTTCAGACTGAAATTTTAAGAACATTTTTCCCTGGTTTCAAAAAGTTTTGGTTACTTATATATATGTTAACTCTAGACTTGAATTGGTTAACAGTGTAGTGATTGATAAAGCATCCTCTTAGGAGTCTGTTCCACAAAATAACAATTCTGAGGAAGAAGCTGTTTGAGTGGAACTTCCTCCTTACTAAGTGCACTCTCAAGTGGCTCCTTAAACCAGCCATTGATGTGTGTATATATATATATATATATATACACATACATGCATACATATATATATATATATATATATATATATATAGAGTCCGCCAAAAAATGTATACACTTCAGGAAAGGAAAACTTGTCTTTCGTAGTTTTTAGACTTTTAATTATAGGGAACCCTAAAAGATATTGTGTATTGCAGAAAACTGACTACATTGGTGGCTCTTAGACAAGAAAATGAAAATGCATGTAACACAGTCCTACTGGACATTTTGGCCAGTGTTGCACCAGCAGTAGTTCACTGTACTAATAAATGTCTGGAAGCTTAAGACCACCATTTTGAGTATCTCTTGTGGTTGTAAAGTCCAAAGGTAATTTGTATTAATCTTGTGATGACTGAATAAATTTAGTATTAGAATATCTATACAAGTTTTTCTTTTCTTGAAGTATGTATATAATTTTGCTGGACTGTATATATAAAACCCATATACATATTGAATTAATTTATTTTGAAAGTAATCAACCACTTCTTGTCATTATAGGCAACTACACCTGCTACAAAAGAGTCAGTATTTCTCAAATCATTCATTTAAGAGACCATTACCCTAACAGTCTCATAAATTCTTGATGTGTTTGGTACTCAAAAAAATTAAAGCACGTCAAAGTACTGTTTGCTAGAAGTTGTTAATGAATTAAGTCAATGTGATATTTCTATAGTTTTTTTATTTTTCTTATTTCATCTTTCATATTATTTCATCTTTCATGAAAGTTTTTATTTATTTACTATTTGTAGATAAAATAAATTTAGTCTAAACAAAAAAAAAATTTTTTTTAAGCAATTCCTCTCCAAGCAAAGTGGGAGTGCCACTAGAATGCAAGGGGTTACAGAGAGTGGGAGCAAGAATAAAGAGGCATGAGAGAGGAAAAGATGCAGAGAAGTACAGGGAATAGATCAAGTCATCTGGAGATGTCAAGATTTGAATATTTGGAGATTATAGCTATCAGGGAAGCAAGTAAGAGGAAAGGAGTTCCAGAGATGGGAAGTGCAAGACAAGAAGCAGTTGGAGTAGAAGAGACAGCTACATTTAACCATTTCGACAGTGAAAGGATGAGACTGAGATGCTAATCTAGTAGCATGTTTCAATTCATGCAGTTTGGGAACCAGCAAAAGTATTTCGTCAGAGCAGTTGCCGTGAAAGTATTTGTAGAAAAGACAGAGGGAAGCGATGACACATCTGTGAGAGAGCGACTGTAAACGAGATGCCAATCACATTGCATATCTGTCTCTTTTGTAACTGAGTGATAATATTGTGGTGTCTGCATTAAAAGTAAATGTTTCAAAACCATTTTTCAGAGGAGATAATTATTAAACTGGATGCTAATAAGGAGAGAAGACTTGGAGAATTTAATACTCCCAGAGAAGCAAGGGTAAACAGTGAGTAATCTACTTGAGGAGTTCTAATAAAATGGATTGTAGAACAAGGACAAATAGGGGTAATTAAGAGACAAGAGTTAGAGAAACAAAAGACAGGAAATTTGTGGAGAACCATTATCTCCCATATCCCGAACGGATGTCAGATATGAAAGAAAAAGAAGGTTGCGTAAGCTAGGAAGAAGAGAATTACAGTTAAATTTAAAATGTTAATTTTTTTCCATCAAAATTTTGAAAAAAGTTACTGGACAATTTAGCACTGTTTTTTCATCTTTCTTTAATAGACTTTTTTTCTTTTTTTTTTTTTTTACCCTAAAATGGTAAAAGCATATCCCTAGGAAGCATGAATTGTGGAATAGTGGAAACCTTGTAAATCCATGTTGTTTCTCAGTAGTTACAACTCTTACAACATGTGATCTTATAATAATAATAATGTCACGTGTAGACTACCATAAATAGAAAAATGGAAACGTTTTAAGCTAATAAAAAAATTGAAAATTATTTTAAAAGTCTTTTTTGCAAAACAACTTATATTAAACTTTTCAATTTTTGATTTATAAATATAGTTTCCACTTATTACAATATCTGAAAGAAAGGAAGTAATGTAGAATTTTAAACGATTTTTAAATTATTATAAATTATAATTCAAATTTTAAAAAATGAAGACAATTCTTGTAAAAATTCATTATTAATCGAAAAAAATTTCTTAAGACAATAGTTTTCTTAATAAATCTTATTTAAAAGCAATTTAATTAAAAGCTTATCTAATTAAATAATGTCATAGTTTTATTACATTTTTTTAGTTTATCATTCTTAGCAGATTTTCAGAAAAACAGTAGTAGTTTGAAGAAAAAAATTGGATGATTTATATTCTCCAAGGAGTCCTACTTTTAATTAATAAAAAAATTTTTGGAAAGGAAATTTAATTTCTAGAAATTTCATGAAATTAATTAAGTAATATGGGATAACATCTAAAAAATATTTTTACCAAATTTTTCTAAAACAAAAAAAAAAAATAAAAAAAATAATTTCATTAATTTGTGAATAAGTCCTGAAAGTTTCATTAAAATCCGACAATTACTTGATTTTTGCAAGAATTTCCAAATCAATGTTTTTCACCTGAAAAATGTGCTAAAACACTAAAAACTAAATCGTAAATATTACGTACACAGCTGACGTAAAAACAAAAACAAGATTTTTTATCCAAAATCTCGAACGTGCTAGAAATGATTGAAAAAATTAATAAAATAATAAAAAATAATTTGATCTTTCCTCTTAACATTAACATTTTGACGATAAAACTTTGTTTTTATTAAGCTTTGGGTCTTTTTTCATTATGCTATGCTGTTTTTTTCAGCAAAAAGTGGCTGTCGGTTGCAGAGTTGACTAAAAAACTGAAAAGTGGAAAGAATGTTTTGTTTTTAAACACAGGAATTAAATAACTTACCTGTTAAGTTTCGTTTTTTTTACATTTCTCTCTTAATAACATTACACAATTTTTAAACATTAAATTTTTAACATTTTTTTAAAATTTTTTTAAAATAAAAAAGGTTATTTTTCTTGAATGTTACTAGAGAAGTTTTATTACAAAGAAAAGAAGGTTCAAAAATTTCTAATCAATTTTTCATTCATCGAATAATTAAAGAATTATGAAAATAAAATATTTATTGGCGAAATATTCTAATTTTTAAAAATGCTGGTTGATATGATATTCATTTATATTTGGGATTAAAAATGTTACTTTTCAGTGCTAAAAGAAAAAAAAAAATTAATTAAAATACAAAAAAGGCTAATTTAAAAATAAAATACTTCAGGTTGTAAGTGTGTAAAAACTGTATTGTTTTTTTTTATTTTTAATTTTAGATATATAAAAAATTATTTTAAAATTAAAAAAGTGTATTTTTTGCTTTTTTAAAACCTTGAAAAGTATAAAATGTTAATTGTTGCAACAATGAAGTATTTTTTAACGAAATATAAACAAAAGTAAAGAACAAATGCGAAAGTTAAAGCAGTAAAAAATATCTAAAGATTTTTTTTTGATAATTAAAAAAAAATAAGTTAATTTATTTAAAAAAATGTTTCATTTTTATGCGTAGTACAGCAAGTTTGACTTTGTTGGCTCAATATTTGTCAAAAAAAAAAAAAAAAAATTTTAAAAAAGAGTAACTGATTAGTTGAGTCTAAAACCCGAGATTTATTTTGAATAATTTCCTAAAATAACGTTTCTCGCGAATATAATCAGGATTTTGTGATGAAGACAAATTCTTGTGACAAACTTGTTTTTTTTTCAGTGTTTTGAAATATAAACTGGCCGCGGGCCAATTATTGAATAGACGCCTTCAAAAAGGATCGACTACATAACCTGGCCATAGGCCAGTATAAAAAATAGGATAGTATAGTCAATGCGAGTTAAGAAAAGATTTATGGTAAGAATTTTAAATTTATATTGTCTTATTTTCCTTTAAAATAACTTATTTTTATCTTCTAAAATCAAAGACAAATACTGACCGGACGATTCAAGGTCCATAGTGATGTAAATTAACGATTGCTTTCTCAAAAATGGCGTACGTCACTGGCCACGAGCCAGATTCAATAGACAACTATAAACAAAGAAATAAACACTTATGTGGAAAACTATGGAATGCCATAAGCACAATAAATAAAACATTTAACAAATTTTAACTTTTATCGAATTTTTGGCAATTTTAATAATTTTGTCTCATGACTTTATTTTTTATTTTTTTTTATTAATGATTAATATTATTTTTTTCATATAATTAACTATGCTAGAAATATTTTATTTAAAAAAATAAAATATTTCTAGCATAGTTAATTCAAACTACTAGTCTATTAAATGTATGCTCTCTAAACATTTTAAAGTTTTGAAGGTGAGACATTTATATAAAAATGCATTTTTTCAATTAATATAAACTCTTATTCTTGCGCATTTACTGGTTAAAATTTGATTTCAATTTTGACCTGACTTGAAATTCCTAATATAAATATCTATATAAATTTTATGTTTGTCTTCCGTAGGGAATTCACTGTTTGTTTTTAACGAACGTTAACATTTAATTGGCCGTAAAAAAATCTAGCATACTGATAATATGTAAAAGTATTAAATTTTATAAAATATTCAATAATAATAATTTTAGAAATAAATTTTACAGAAATTTTATCCGATTGATTATTTTTTTCGGAATATACGGAAGTAAATATGGAATAAAAAGAAGACCAAACGTGTCATCATCGCCATTAAACATCAACATGGCTTTGTTATTGAGGTACGTTTCGATTTCGTTGCTGATATTAATTTTTTTTTTATTTCCTTGCAAGAATCTTTGGAATCGAAATCTCTTAATCACGCAATTGTAGTCATTTATTTTTCTATAACCGTAAAGTTCTATATTAATAGCTTTGCATTAGTTTTTACTGCCAGCGGACCATCTTTAAAAAAAACAAAAAAACGGTCACCTTCTCAAAGAATTTTTATTTTCGTCTTAAATTGTTTTTAGTTTTTATGATAAAATATTTGATTTGTTTTTCCTATTAAAAAATCTTTTTTATTTTAAAGGATCTTTAATGTTGCCATTAATAAGACAAGCCAGGACTTGAGAGGAATTTACGAACACGTGTTAGCTTTTTTTTTTTTTGTCCTTAGTTTTGTTTTTTACAAAGTCATTCTAATTCTTGTAGACAAATCGTGTATTGTGTTTTATTAATTTTGACTAATTGTCATTTCTCCCCAATCGCCATTCTTTCTTTCTCATTGACAACACGAGACCAAAATAGCAATAATGTTGATGTTACGTAACAACTAAGATAAGAAGTAAATAAAAAGAATATTGTTAAGTTTACCGCTTCAAACGTTTTCTTCACATCAGTGATGTGATTTTTCTTTTTTTTTTTTTACCTCCTTTTTAAATTCCCGTTATGCCTTTTTTTTGACTAGTCTCATATTCTGTGTCTTCGTTTTTGGATTTGAAATGTCATGAATCAGAAATTATGCTTTTCAGGTGTTATTTTTATCTAACTAAAAACTGAAATTTTAAATCTCATTTTTGGGGGTGGGGGAAGAAAACACTGATATATTTCAAATCAGTTTACATTTTACTTAAAAAAAGGAAATATTTTCGGTTAATTCAGAGGAGCAGGAGAAAAGGTTTTGATTTCTGGAACATTTTCTCTCTTTCTTTTTTTTTTTTTTTCCTCCATTCATTCTTCTTTTTTTGTGCCGTATCCCTTCACGACGTAGGCAATCACGACTCTCCACAACTTCCTATCTTTTATAACTCTGATGTGAATAATTATAATTATTCACATCGTTTACTGGTAAATGTATATTGTAACACCCGGGCGCTAATATCCCTTCAAATTTTTCCAAAAAAGTCTTAATTCCGTGCAAATGTATATGCTTTACTCAAATCAACAATTAGATATTAAAGAAACCTACCTTTTTGGATGTTAACGACCAGAAATAATTGGACTTATTCTCGGCCTTATTGAGAGACATTCACTGCTGAACCATTTCGCGCACTTATACTATTTTAGCCTAATTACTCCCTCAACGAAATTAATACGCGTTTTTTTTTTTTTTAAATTTAAGTAAAGTTAACTTTTAACTTTCAAGTTTAGATTTTACTTATTTTTTTAAGAAAGTTAACTTTCAAATGTATGAAAATATAAAGTAATTTTCAAATGTATGAAAATAAGTAGTTTTTACTTAATTTTTTAAGAAGAAAGTTAACTTTCAAATGAAAATATCGACAAATAAAAAGAAAAAGAATAACAAAGTAATTTTTCAAAATGAAGGAACAAGGGTATGGGCATCCCTGGCCTCCCTTCCCCGCAATCGGACGTAAAAAGTACCATGAAGGTCTTCTTCGACTCTTCGATCCCGCCAAATAGCCAGACCCTTAGAGTTATTTTGATGCCATAAAAAGTCGCATTTTGTGGTCCCCAGTCATGATACGGACATCTGTCAGCAGGGGTTTGACGCAGTCTATTTACTCATCCCAATACTGTCCACATCCTCATCTACACTACAGTACACGCTACTGAAGAAATGTCAATTGCACAAATTGTTTGATCACTATGTACGAAGCAATTCAAAAATTTTGAATGAATGAAGAGGCTTCAGTAGAATTTCTTCGACTACATGGAATATTAATTTTCCTCCGTGGAATGCCCTCGATGCCATTCACCTTGCTTGTTTCGTGCCAACCAGAAAGTATGGCATTGCAGAAAACCTGTCTCCGGTCCTAGCAGTTTGAATCGTCCAACAGACGGAAAACAGAATGTGGCTTCAGTGTTAGTGATAGAAAAATACACTTTTGGAGAAGCCACGCTTGCCTGCGTGGATCGAAAGAGTCTCGAAGAAGACCTTCATGGTACCACTTACGTCCGATTGCAGGTGGGAAGGAGAAGCCAAGGATGCCCATACCTTGTTCCCTTGATTATAGTAACACATCCGACCAGGATCAATCATTTACAGTGATTGCTGGTCGGGCGTATGTCTAGATAACAGAACACGGGTACAATTTTGCAAATCAACCATTCTGAACACTTTGTAGATCCAACAGATCAAACTATCCACACGAGACGGTTGAAAGACTATGGAGAACGACTAAGGATGTAATTATCAGGACACAGAACTTTGTATTTAAAACAATGCATTGCTCATTTTTTATTCTTAAAAGCAGTCCCTAAACATAGTCAGCGCCTTCACATTTTCCTGAGAGAGGCGAGCAGACTGTATCCAGGACCTACTTCGTTATAGACATCTATATTGCATTTGTTTTTAAATTGTCAATGTCATTTTTTTCCAAGCTTTTAACTTCCTCTTACAATTGATTTAATTATTGTTTTTTATTTTCAATGTATAATATTAAAAAATGCTTTACTGTCCTACTTATTTTGTTCTTTTTGTTATTTATAATTTATAAGTATTTTCATCGATATTTTCATATATTTGAAAGTACTTTGTTATTCTTTTAATTGTCGATATTTTCATATATTTGAAAGTTAACTTTCTTCTTTAAAAAGTACACTTATCACTTATTTTCATACATTTGAAAATTACTTTGTTATTCTTTTTTATTTGTCGATATTTTCATTTGAAAGTTAACTTTCTTCTGAAAAATTAAGTAAAAACTACTTATTTTCATACATTTGAAAATTACTTTATATTTTCATACATTTGAAAGTTAACTTTCTTCTTAAAAAAAATAAGTAAAATCTAAACTTGAAAGTTAAAAGTTAACTTTACTTAAATTTAAAAAAAAAAAATGCGTATTAATTTCGTTGAGGGAGTAATTTAGGCCAAAATTGTATAAGTCTGTGCTGAAATGGTTCAGCAGTGAATGTCTCTCAATAAGGCCAAAAGTATGATAAGAAGAGCGAAATAAGTCCAATTATTTCTGGTCGTTAACATCCAAAAAGGTAGGTTTCTTTAATATCTAATTGTTGATTTGAGTAAAGCATATACATTTGCACGGAATTAAGACTTTTTTGGAAAAATTTGAAGGGATATTAGCGCTCGGGTGTTACAATATACATTTACCCGTTTACTAATTTATTATCGCCTTCTTGTGTTTCCTAGATTTTTTTTTCTGAAGTATTTTCATCTGCACTTAGCATTGGCGCAAGGAAGGTTAAAGAATATGAGGCTAGTTTAAAAAAAAAAATTGAAAGGGAAGTAAATCAATATTTTGCGAAAATCGTTTAAACGTTAAACTTGTATCCGAAGAAAAAAAAATTAATCTTTTATTTACTTATTTTACTTACTTATTAATTTATTTTTTTTAGACATCCGGGTAATTGTTAAAGTTGTTTTTCTTTTAATAAGATCTTGAATCGAAACGAAGCAAAAAGAAAAAACGGATTACATTGTTTTAAGTTAAACAGTTTTTGGAGTTGACTAGTAGTAGTGTTTGTTATCTAACCTTTGTCAGGTTATGTTCTCTTCCAATCCTGAATATTTTATTTATAATTAAATACTAAATTAATTCTAGTCACTGTTAATTTTACATGGGAATCATCTTTTAACTTTCCTCCTAAAGGTAAATTGATTGTATGTTGTGATTAAAATTGGGACATTAAGTTTTAGTACAAAAAGGCAAAGTATTTTCAGATTGAATAGACCAGAAAAAATAGGAACTTTGCTTTGGGTAATAACAACAATGTTTAGTAACATAAAAAGATGGAGTTAACATGAATAAATTCACATATTTTTAAATAATAGTGCAGGGAGTACAGTTCATAATGTGTGCTCACAAAGGAAACCCAACAATGCTATATTAAAACAATTTGTATCTCAATTTCTGGGCTGAAATTTTATTTATATTGGAACTAATGTTGTCATCTTATCACATTTTCATCCTTGTACTCTCCAGTCTCATCTATATTTCTTAGATGAGGTATTATGTACACTATATATTATTCGAACTATTGTCCTCATCTTTGTTGCCATGTTTATCAAAGCATTTTGGCTGTTGTATGCTCCAGCCTTCTTCAGGTGGTTCAAATGTCTAACTGAACCCTTTATTTTCTCGCTGGGGTAGACTGTTCTAGTGCCATGTCTATCAGTTATCTCCTGTTAATTCACCTCCCCAAGTTCTCCACTGCCTTAACTAGGTATTGAACTCGCAACACTAGGCTACAAATCTTCTGAGCCAAACAATCATAGAAATGAATACAATATGAAAACCGATAATAAGGAAAAAAGCAATAATAACAATGAAAATTACAATATGAGCTCTGGTTTAAAAAAAAAAAAAATGCACTGATTACAGCAAAAATTGTAATATGAGCACTGGTAAAAATGGTTGCTGATGACATTAAGTTTATAAGTCCCAGAAATTCATACACAGATGTCCTTAAGGACACATGGCACAGTGGATAAAGGTGTTGGTTAGATCTACTGACAGGACCCAAAGAGTTGTGAGTTCAATATTAACAGGAGGTAACTGATAGACATGGCACGTGGAATTAGAACAGTCTACCCCAGCAAGCGAAATAAAGGGTTCAGTTCGACATTCCCACCACCGGCCAAAATGTGATAAATATGGCAACAAAGATGAGGACAATAGTCCAAATAATGTAAATAGTGTACTCTCCTGTCCTCTTCAGATGTCCATCAGTCTGCATAACCTTCAGGGAATTTTGAAGTGAACATTTTTTTTATTTAATCTGTGTGGGTAGATTGTTCTACTGTCCATATCTACAGATATCTGGTCTTTTCTTTCTAATAATGTTCAGTTATTGCATCCTCTGTTTCCATTGA